GGTTGAATGGCATCGATCTGTATCAGGGTTGTTTGGTTGGTGGTTCGTTAATTGATTTGTATCAGAAGTCTCTCATAGAAGTAATTTTGATCTCACGAGAGCTGGTCAATTTTTCTCAAGTTATGATGGTACTCCATCATGTAGTCCAAGATACCGCTCATCTTCAACACAAACAAGAGGTTTAGTCGGAGGCACGGGAATTCTCGAAAAATACAGCATGAATCTTTCCAGGCAAATAGAAGAGGTAACGTGCGGAAATGAGAAGAAGGGGATAGAATCATTCAACCTGTAACCTGTCAAAACTTTCTGACCCGTTTTCGTGTAGTGATACAAAGATAAGGCAAGGCAAGAAATTGAACAGGTCATACAAGAACAGAAGTAAGGATATAATGAACTAACAACCGCCAAAAAAGGCACCGGCTAGCCTTAACCCTAGCAGCGAACACCATGCACCAATCTTGACGCCTTGTGATAAAGAACATGTACTCCTCTCTCCCGGGACAGCTTCCGATAGGTATCAGAATACCTATACCTGCTTTATTCTGATCATAGTAATATGTGCAGCACGAAAAAGAAATGGCTGGAGGGTTGGAGAACAATCCATGGTGGGTTAGGGCTACAGAGCGTTAGGTTTTTCTTGCTTTGTCTGACGTGCAGGCCCCGGCACTGATTCTGCTATAGTTGTCCTTTCTAGAAAGGTATGAAATCTGAAAGTCTCACCAAGAAAGGGAACATTGACTGATCAATTAATTTATTCGGTATACAACCTGGAGATCATGACGCTCGCTGGTCTTTGCCTGCAGCCTCAGTCAGTACAGACTTTTATCGCCAGAACTAATTCCCTCCATCCACCGCCACAAGAAAATGAATATCATGTATGAAGGAAATGAATATGTACGCATACCAACTCCTGGTCAATAGCTGAGTGTATCGATCTAGTATTACAACTCTGACACGATTATGATCGATTAAACTGGCAATATTATCCTCGAGGCGTGTAAAAAGCCATCAACAGTGACTAAGGTAATTCCAATAAATCCCGAGCCATGTATCAGACCAATTAACGAGATCAGTGAACACAAATACGAAGGTTATGGCATGCGAGTGACGATCTATGAGTAAATTAATGGCTGCTCGACATAAGAGTAAATATGCAGAATAGCCCATGATATACGACCATTATCCAAGTCAGTGATGGCGAGAAAGATCCTTTGATAAATGCGGTTTTCACATCAATTTTAAAGCTGTGACTAGCCTCACCGGACAGAACAGATCTTTCTAAAGCACGATATCTACAGTAACCTACTCAACCACATAGATCTCACTTCTACTTCACCCTATCTAGCTTTACTGTCAAGTATTATCACCAGTAGCCCACAACCAGCTCTTCAGACCCGGAAGCCCCAAGTAACGGAAGCAACCTATTCAAGTGACAAATCATGATGCACCCGGCGAAGGAAACCCTATTTTGTTGCTATTCGATAGGATAGAAGCAACCAAAAACCAAACTAGTGGAAACTAAGGCCTCTCTATTCTATTCCGTCGCTAGTCCAGTTGTGGAAGGTGCAGGGACTGGATTCGTTGCAATGAGCAATAGAGGAAAGAAAACCCTGCAAAAAATGCGGTTACCACAACAACGTCCATAGAAGGATAGTCAAGTTCAGAGGGTAGGGGTAGGGGTAGGGGTGTCCTATTGTAGAAAAACAATAATAAAGCTAAAAGGTGTAAACTAATTTATTAGGCAACCACCATTCTTGTTCGGCTCTCTCTAAAATTTCCCTACACTTTGACTATAGAAGTCACCTAACGAACACCCCACACCTAGGTCTTCTTTGCCGGAACTCTTCGTGCTGAGAAGGACCGCAAAACGTCTGGAAAATAGAACTCTCGGCCTTTTCCCTTTGCGGTGCCGGATCCCTCTATTTGCACACTTCTACCTCTATCGTCACCACAAGCACCACCATCAACTTCGACAGTACTACACCAAGTTAATGGCACCCATGTATAACCGCTATAAGCAGCCAGCTAACTACTGATGATGATGCAGCCCGATAGCACCTATATCCAACACCGTAATACCAGCCATTCCTCGATGCCTATACCCCCACCCCTTCTGCCAAAACGGCTATCTGATGCCAAACAAAGGCGGGGCATATGCAAAGACAACAATGGGTACACCCATGCCGCTAGCGCCCAGACGCCTAAGTCATATTAAGGACTTCCTGTCTTCCGAAGGGGGACAGTGCTCAACCGTGGCGATGCAAAATGGAGGTGGTGCATGACTTTTGGGATTCCCTAAGGCCCAGTCTTATCTCGCCAGCTCGTAGGGTGAGGGGATCGGCTACACCTGTTGCAAAAGACAGCCTCTCGGTGAATGGTCTTCGCAGTCAGCAGCTTAAGGCTAGCTCGAGCTCGCGCAACTATAGCTATTAGCCCTATATCGCACGCAAAACACGGCTATTGCACTTAAGGACACAAACAAAGAAAACTTCAATCTCTTTCATCCCTTCCATGCCTTCCACCGCAACCATGACTGCTAAGATGGTAGGCCCCATAGCCGTTAACGTTCGATCGCCGCCAAGGAGAGAATCATGATCTATCACTCGAGCGCCAAGAGCTCACCCCCTGCACGTGTCTCCCGTCAGCGTAGCCCACCATGTCCTACCAATTGTTTAGACTTGTGGTATCAAAACCGGTATTACAACCGCTGCTGCTGCGGGAGGTCCGGAAGGCCAAAATACTAGTGTTGATTAATATTATCCACCACAGAACATCGCGCAGTCTAGTCTTTGCACCCGGGATACGTCCGGAAATCCGGAGACCGTTTCCAGAAAGAAACAACCCGCACTCCTAACCAGGTCAGTCCCTCTGGGGCCGTGGAATACCTATCTGTTCCCCCTTTTTTTCTGATATGCAGAGAGTGGTTTGCAGCGGCCGCGCACCGATAGTGTTGCGGCGAGAACAAGCGTGGGAAAAAGAATATCGCGAGTTCTACTGATCGGCGGGATATTAGCTGCCGGTATAGTGGACGTTGAAGGGTCTTTGAGGTGCTAGGCGACCCGGCTATGTAGGATGTATAGCGTCGAGGGGCGGGCCGGGCCTACATATATCAGCGCCCCCGGGACGGGAGGCTATTGATGCGCTTTTTGGTCATGCCGGTTCAGGTGTTTATAGGGGAGTGGGTATTGAGGGGAGGAAATTGTTTAATAGCAGAAGCTCTTCTGTACGCCGCATGGGAAGCCCTCGCCAGTACCAGAGAAATGCAAGCCCTCTTACAATACAAAACTTCATTTGGCCGGAACTGCAACACGATTAATTAGTAGGAATAGGGTGTCATTTGTGTGGCCCTAGGAGCCGGTAATTAGATCCACAGAGCGCTCGAGCCAGGGACAAACAAATTATTAAACAGGGCATAAGTTCCCCGATTTATAAACCTCTTGGGACGTACACGATTCTCCACAGATTATAACACACCTACAGCTTAGGCCTTGTCAAAATGCACAAACCAAATTTTCCAGGTTGGGGATTCATGCCGCTCAATAATATATATCTTGCCTTGTGAAATGAGGGGGGCGGCCTCCACACAATTAATGAGTTATCAATCGATCAATCAAGGGGGACAGTCTCGTCTTATACAATTAATGAATTAAACAAAAAAAGGTCTCGTCTTGGGCTCGAGAAACCGAGTGACTAACTGTGAGCCAAGACTTTTGAGGAAAGATTTCCTTATCTACAAATCTTTGAGGGACTCACCACGTATTCTTTTGAAGTGACAGCTAACTCCCAGTGCATGCCAGTAACTAGTATTCATGGTGTTAGTAGATCTTGGCAGATTTTGGCCTATGGAGACCAGTGGCTTAATCTTCACGATAAAGCACAGCGAGCTGCGAGCAGCAAGTTAAAACGAGACATCAACTACCAAAACGGGTTCTGTATTCCTCTAGCTACCCAGCACCACACACCACTTCCCCTAGGCCTTCTTCACACCGGCCGGCCCCGCCCCAGTCAATAAAGGAAACTCATTACATATAACCATTATGATTACGCATACCATATCAATCCATCACACAATATCACTCGCACCCATATAGCAACGGAAGAAAAAAAGAGAAAGCGGGTGAAACTGCCTATATATCCACCGAGTACAGCGCGCAGAAAAGAAGAGAGAGAGCAGAACCTCCAAATCCTGATGATGCATTCACTTCTACACTACCGGCGCACCAGAAAAGAAAAGCGAGAGAGAGAGAGAGAAGAGAGGGTAAGAGGGGGCGGAGAGAGAGGGAAAGACAAAAATTTCCAAAATAAAAGTGAGTAAGAGTAAACTGGACAGACAGACAGAGCGGTGAGAAGAAGAAAAAAACGTCAATTCGCGCTCTTCTCCAATTTCAAAATTGAAAAGGAAAGGGAAAAAGAAAGGGAAAGAGAAAAAAAAAATTTGAAAAAACGCCTAATAACCCCCCCGCCATCCCCCCGCCCCACAAAAAAACCAATTGCACATCAACATCTTTTGCGAAACCAATCTCGCAGGTAAAGTAAGAAAAGACAGAACAAGGTGGGAACGGAAACAAGCAAACAAAAAAAAATCAGACGCTCATGATACTGCAAATACAACACAAAAAGACAATGACCGCAGAGAAAAAATGAAGAAAACTATTCTCACAATGCTTGAGCTCAACCAGCGCTAACTATGACGCTAGAAACAGTAAAGAGGGGAAGGAAGATGGAATAGAAGGAATACGGGTGATGGTGCTGACGGGCCAAATGTTTATCTTAGTAATAGTCCTCCAAAGAATCAAATACAGAAGAAAGGAAAGAGCAGTAGGCGAAAAGCGAATGAGAAATCACCGCACCAATCCACAAGGTAGGTCGGTCGGTTTGTTTCCCCTCATCGGTTAATAAAAAAGGGTATCAAAGTCAAAAAAAAATACAAACTGTCTCTTTCCTTCATCTGGCTGTCCAGAACAACAAAAAAATTATCACCCTCTCTCTATTCTACCCGTTTAATGCTTCCACTTTGGCCTTCCATCATACCCCCATCCTTTCGATACAGGTGGCATGCTCATCCTCTTCCCTCTCGAATCGGTACTTCCCGCAACGCTGTTTCTTCCGGACAGACCAGCGCTGCCGTGGGCACCAATGTGATCCCCGCCACCACTAGGCCTGCCATTCGGTGTCGTGGGTCTTGGCAACATGCTCATCCTGTTACCCCTCAAGTAGCCAAGCGCACTGCTAGCCATCGCACTCGCCGGTCTAGATGACCTCCTCTGCTCCCTCGGCTCCTCTTGCTGCTCTTCCTCATCTTGATATTCGTTGTTGAATTGAGCAGTCTTAGGGGAGTTAGTTGTGGATTGTGATTGACGATTAGACTGGAAGCGAAGCTGACTTGTGCTAGTCTGTCTTCGCAACTCAGGTCTACCCGACGTAGGCTGCTGCTGCTGTGGCGGGTACCCAGTCCTTGGAGCAGGGCTCGGGCTCTTTCGGATACCAGCACTAGCCCGGCGACCCATAGATGTAATGGACGACGTGAGTCTATGGTGGTAGCTTGGTGATCCGGGGTTTGACCCATTTGCCTGGCTCAATGGGCTCGGCATGGGAATACGTGTGTGGTTGCCCTGGGAGGAAGCAGAGCGAGGCGTGGTGATCGTGTGTCTCTTTGGAGATGCAGGGGTAGCAAGACTAAGAGGCTTATAGCTTTGACCATAGAGGCCATCACTAATATTAGTGGATGTGTTCCATCTAGGTCTACCATCAAATTTCTTAGCACTAGATGAGGAGCCAACTGACGACTTCCTCGGACTATCCCTTGAGGGCGTCGTCTGATTCGAGGGTGCAGACGTTGTCCTAACCATCCCAGTCGAGATGGGAGCCAGTGATGAACCTCCAGTCGACAAAAGACGAGAGTGCGGCGATTTCTTCGGGATACCGCTCGTGGAACTCCTGTCCCCAGGGCTTGTTGAGTGGCTCATTCGTCTGCCTCCAGATATGGGTGACCGTTTACGCTCGAGGGTTGTTGGGGAAGTAGCCATGATGACTGAGCTTGCCGGCGAGCTGCCGGGAGTGATCATTCCAGAGCTGTTGTACGAGCGAACATCCAATGAGGTGATCGTCGACATTGAGTCACGGAGAGTCTGGGAGTCCAGCTGCAGTTCATTCAGGTCTTGTTCCATATCTGCCATTGAAGCTTCAAGGTTCTTCCACCGCGTTCGCATCGCCGTCTCGAGCCTAATAATCTCGCCATTGACAGTAATACGATCACGGACACCCTTACTGATGAGCCCCAAGGCCCGGTCGATCGCGCTGCCTGTTTGTTCCATCGATATCAGTATCCTACCAAGACTTAGGCCGCGTAGCCACAGATACATACCGTAATGCACCTTTTTAGCCTCGTAGTTCTGCATCCTGGAAACTAGGCCTTCATCGATCCGGCCGCCGCTTTCTTCCCAGACGGTCACGGCATCTCGAAGTTTTGCCAGACTTCGCTCGACGCTCCCGATCATAGATGCAGTCTGCTTGCCAGCGTTTCGGAATAACGCAACCCATTTGTCTTCTCCCAGCTCTTTCTTCAACCCTTCCACATCCGAATTGAGCTTTGTCCACTTCTTTTCAAGGGTGCTTCGTCGTGACATCAAATCTTCACACGCGCTGGGGAATATTTCTTCGGCTCTTGCCTGGAAGCTCTGAAGCCTCATGGGGAGGAAATCTAAACTGACTCTCAACGGTTGCATCCGAGCGATCAACCCCAGGAGGGAGCTGTCTTCGAGTTTAACGACCACCTTTGCCTGCGAGGAATTTGGCGCGTCTTCTATAATGGTTTGCAGAGTGTCTAGGTCCACTCCTCCAACCAGTGATCCGTCCTCCATCAAACTCCGGTGGCGTTTCTCCTCTTCCTCAAACACAATCGTCTGGCATGCATCGAGCTCGGCTTGAATATCCTGGAGGATCATTGTCCACAGCTCTGTCCACTCCATGGCCGTCTCGACTTGGTCCTTTACGCCCTTCAAAATCTCCTTGACCTCCTTCCATCCATCCAATACAACATCCATACTCTTCAAGATTTCCATCAGGGTCTCCTTTACAGGATTGATATCTTCCCTCTGCCGCAGCTCCTCAATGAGCTCAACGTACACATTGATAAGACCCGAGAACTTGCTGACAGCACCATCTACGCTATTCAGTGACTCACGCCCCTGTGCAGCCCACTCTACATCATCCTCCGCGTCGAGCCCGCGGAGAACCTTCTTGGCAGTGTCGATCCATCGAGTGATCTGATCGCCCGCACTGATAAGCGCGTTGCAAGCTTCTCCGGCTGTAGGCAACTGCCGGATTCGCGACGAGATATCGGACGATAACGGAAGCGAGAGCGAGGTGAGGCGTGACAGTTGTGCGGAGAAGGAAACGCGGGATAGGGAGAACACGGAGGCCCGTCGTGATAGCGAGGTCGACGACGAGCTCGAGTTACCCCCGTAGATGCTGCCGCTGCTGGGCGGGTCCGTCGTGTCGTCCGTGAAGCGGGCTGTCGACGGTGTTTTGATTTCCTCCGTCAGGATGGAGTGGGATGTGTCGGGACGCTCCCGCACGGGGGAGGTCATTTGGACGAAAGGGTCCTCCTTTGCAGGCACGGCTGGGGGGGTTTCTTCGTACTCATCAATGACACCGCCACCTTCTTCACTCGGTTCTTCCGGAATGTCGTGCTCGTGGTCTTCTTGCTCAATAACTTCTTCCTCTATTGCCCCTCCATTCTCCTGTTGTTGGTGTTGGTGTTCCCCCTCTTGTTGGTGGGCGTATTCGTCGTCCTCCTCCTCGATAGGAGTAGGGGGCAATTCCTTTTGTAGAGGTAGAGACATACCGTGTGATGTGGTTGTGACGGGAGACGGCGTAGTAGTAGATTGCACCAGGTCGGGCAGGAGTTTCCTGTGAGGTGAGGGAGAAGGAGATAAACGGTCCCTATTCGAGTTACGTTTCTCAGCGTCTGCCTCAAGCATCTTGATCCTTGCAGCCAGGCCGGGGGAAGGTTTTCGGGTAGAACGGGTAATTATTCGGGGATCTTGTATGCGACCGCGTGAGTCCTCTGGCATTTTAATCAGAGGGCTGGTCGGCGTCGGTGCTGCTGCTGCTGCTGTTGTTGTGGTTGTTGTGGTTGCTGCTGCTGCTGCTGCTGTCGCCGCCGCCGCCGTGTTGTGAGCGTGTTGCTTCCAGAAGTTGGTTAGACTGCTGTGGAAGGAGTAGCGGTGGTCTGTGGTTGCCTCCGTGATTCCGGTTGATTGGGGTTGGGCTGCTGGGGGGTTGGTGGTAAAGGTTGTGGGTGAAGAGGTTGTGGTGGTGGGAGGGAACGGGGCGGATTTGCACAGCGAGGGGAGAAGAACCGGTACAGCCAGCGTGACAGACAGAACAGGGAACAACGGGGATAAAGGTTGATGATGATGGCCAGCAGGCAAAAAAAAAAAGGGACAAGGTATGCAAGAGAGCGAGAATAGTAATGAAGGGAGGGGGGGGTGTATACAGTAAGATAGTAGTAGTAGTAGTAAATAGTATGCAGTATGGTAGTAGTAGTAGTAGTAGTATGAAGCAGTAGTTGTGTAGTAGGTGTGTAGGTAGGTGTGTGTGTGTGTGGTGGGTTGTGAATGCTCAAAAAGGGACTCTCTAATGTTTCCCCGGTATTGTCGGTATTATATTTGGTTCCCCCTTCGTTTTATTACGTCTGTCCTTATTTTCTTTAGAGCGCCGATTTTCGTAGAAAAGATCACCAGTGGCTGGCTGGCTGGCTGGCTGGTAGGGTACGTAGGGCAGGCAGGTAAGGTAGGGACGGGTGGGGAGTGAACGAGTGAACGAGTGAGTGATCGAGAAGCTAGGGGAGGAGGAGGAGGAGGAAAAAAAAAAGGGTTCGCCAGTCAATAAGATCAGTTACAGTCTGTGTGTTTCACTTGTTCACTTGCTCTCTCACTCACTCACCCGTTGTCGTTGTTGTCCTGGATCGAGAATTCCTGGACGTCTACCTATGGCCCTATGGGGCCCTACATGTAGCTGATTCCCCCAGATTCTCACAAGTGCAGAAGATCTATGTAGAGCAGATTGTAATTATTTTTTTTCTCCCGGCGGCAAAGCAAAGAAGCGTGCAGTCTTTCTGCCTGCTTTCTCCATCATGGGAAAGCCGCGTATCTTGTAGGAGGTTGTACATTACATTACATGGAGGTTAATTAAAGCTCTAGCTACATGCACCTTAGACAGTATAGCAGACAGAGGTTGAGTGACGATTGGCCAGCTGTGGGAGGTGCAACTTAAAACTCGGACCACGTAGGTAGGATGTGTGAGAGTGTGTGAGTGCGAAGCAGCAAGCAACAGCCGATCAGGCTTCCTCACTTCCTCACTCACTTCACTCACACTCACTCACTCACTCATTCACGCCTTCTCACTCACTCATTCATGCTTTCATTACTAACCGCCCGCCCGCCCGCCCGCCCGCCAGTAGTGCCTCTTTCACAAACCTCTGTCTGTCTGTCTGTCTGTCTGTACGAACAAGAAAAGAAGGTGCAGTTCTCCAGCAGCAAGCAGCATGTATGTACGATGATGCCCTGCCTGCCGCGCTTCTCGTCCTTTTTTTTTTCTTTTCGCTAAGCAAAGCAACCTGTACCTGTACCTACATGACCACCAAAAAAAAAAAAAAAAAAAAAAAAAAGGGCCCTGCGTCTTCTCCCCCCGCCCCCCCCCCCCCCCTGGTGAAATTCCCACCATCGGGATTCTCCCTCAGAGTAACCGTGCACTGCTGCTGTCTGTTGGAAGTGGGAAAGTGAGAGAGAGCGAATAAGCTACCCGGTACGACACGCCCGGCTGGGAAATGGCACTAATCTCTGTTCTGCTTGCTGCTCCCCACGTTGTTCTGTTGTGCATGCTGCCAGTGCTGGGGGGGGGGGGGGGGAGAGAGGTGGAGGTGGGAGGTATGATGATGCTGGGTAGGTAGAGCTAGGTTGTGCTGGAGAGTACCTACAGCTAGCAGCAAGCAAGCAAGCACATCAACCTACATCCATCACGAGCTCATCTCAAACCAGTGGCCCACGTACTCTATGGTGCGAGTTGTTGAGGTGAGAAATGCGTGTGTGTGTGTGTGTGTGTGTGTGCCTCCTCTCCACCCTACACACTCCTCACCTCTGCACCTCCATTCCCCGCAGCAGAATTTGAAAAGTTCCCTTGGGGGCCGCGAAACTTGAGGTTTTCTTTTGAGTGTGTGTCTGTTTTGCTCATATGATACATGAAACGAAACGGGATCGGAAAACTATAATAATTTCCATCCCTCCCTTCTTCCCTCTCTCCACCCTTCCTCATCTCTTCGAAGACGCCCGCCGCCCCCCCGCGCGACTCACTCACCCACTTCACACCCTCTCCATCTCCATCTCCATCTCGTCCCCAACAACTAACCTCAGCACTCTACGCAGCATCATCATTCTCGTCACAGTTCAGCTCTCATCACAGTTCGTAAGCTAACACCTCCACACCCCCCCAAAAATAAAAAAAAAAAAGGCGAGAAATAGAAATGCCCGTGCCCCATCCCCCATCCATCATCTACTCTAGCTCTAGCTCTATGCGGCCTCCCTCCGCAGAAACCGCAGAGACCACAGAAAAACGCAAAAAGCAAAAGGCTACAAGATTGATGCACAAGACCCAAACGGGCTTGATGACAGTGGTAATAAACAACAGCCCTAACCCTTGTGGGTAAGGGGTGAGGCCCCTACATGATACGGCTATTTCTTTATTTATTACAAGTGCCAAGTGGGTAAGGGTTACGGTTACATGTAGGTGCAGAAGAACAGAACAGCGAGAGAAAGAGGCGTTACGCGCCAAGCAAATGTCTGTCTGTTCTACGACAGCCCGAGCTCACGCTCGATGCTGCCGACGCGGGAGAAGATGAATGCTTTATCGTTCCTATATTCACGAGAGACGTCAGTATATATTTCTCCACCCCTTCTCCCCACCACCACCACCAAAGGGAAAGCAAAAAAACCAACCTCAGCGAAAACTCCGCCAAATCATCCGACACCCTATTCCAGCTCCAAAAGCCCTCCCACGCCAACTTGCGACCCCCCACCCATCTCCCGCCACTCCTCACACTCCCCAGCCGCAGCTGCATGCGGAACAAATACCTCTCCATGCCCCTCTGCACCGTCTCCACATCCACGCGGCCGTCCGCATCAATCCGCCACCTCCCCCTCGCCACATACCTCGCGACGGAGCTCGGCAGCACGCCCGTCCCCGCGCCGCCGGCACCGCCGCCCTGCACCCCGGTGCGCGAGAACCCGTACACCACCTCCGACGGCTCGCACGACGTCAAGAGCGACAGCACCGTGCCGTCGCCGTAGAAGCGGAGATAGCGGTAGTAGGTCACGATGTGCACGGGCGTGTTCCAGCCCAACTGCGAGGCGCCCTGCCGCACGTAGTTGCAGGTGCTGATGTACACGCCGTTGAAGCGGATGCGCGGGCGGGCCTGGAACATTGCGCGCCAGCTGCCGCCGTATTTCGGGAGGTGGGCCTCGTCGTCGGGGACTGTGCGCTGCTCCTCCTCGTCTTCCTCGGCTTCCTCGGCTTCTTCGGCTTCGGCTTCGGCTTCTGCCTCTGCCTCCGCGGCGGTTGTGGTGGGGGGAGGGACGCCGCCATCGTCGCCGAGCACGCGGTGGAGTATGGGCGTGCCGTCGACGCTGACACGCCAGTCCCAGGCCATCTTTGCGAATGCGGCGGTGCACACGTCGCGCCAGATGGCTTCCTCGGTGGAGACGACGTAGGAGAGGGCCTTGCACACCTTTGCGCAGCGCGCGAAGGAGGCGATGTCGGTGGTTGCGAGCGTGTGCAGGATGTGCAGGAGGAGCTCGTGCGGGAGGGTGGTGAGCGGGGAGTAGACGACTGTGTCTTCGGTTCCTGCGGGCGGGATGGCGAGGTGCGCAAAGGACTCGATCAGCGCGGCGATTGACGCCGGGGGTTGTTTCTGCGCTGCTGCTGGCGCGGCGGGGGTGGGTGCTGATGATGATGATGAGGCGGCGCCGGCGCCGGCGGTGGGGTGCGCACCGGGGGCGGGACGGGGGTAGTATTTATCGCGGTATTGGGAGTCGACTTTGGCGTCCATCTATCATTGACCCCCCTCCCCCGTTAGCACCTCCCTCCCTAGCTCCCTCCCTAACCTACCTTCCTGCCTACCCACGTAGAAACCCACGCCCCGGGAGTGAGAAAGAACATACCCGAAAAGCCTTCCGGTACAGACTCAGACTCTCGCCCAAGCTCCCCTGCATCTCCTTCTCCACCGCCTTCTCATAATGCTCCAACGCGCTCGCCGGCCCCGCCGACCTCCGTGTCGCCTGCGGCGACGTGCTGCGCTCTCTCTGCGGCGGCGCGAAGTCCGCGTGCTCGCCGTTGTCGTCGTCGTCGTCGTCGGATTCGGGCGCCTCGGGCACGACCTCGCGGTGCGAGAGACGGCGGGGGGCGAACGGTGCTGGTTTCGGGTGGCTGGACGAGGAGGAGGCGGCGGTGGTGGTGGTGGTGGTGGAGGAGGAGCTGGAGGTGGCGGCGGGGGTGGGGTGGGTGCGCGCGGTGACTTCGGCTTGCCATTGCTGGCGGAAGCGGGAGAGTTCTGTTTCGCGGTCGTCCATTGCGGGTTCTGGGGGGTGTTGTTGTTGTGGTGGTGGTGAGGGTGTGGATTGGAGCTGTGGGTTCGGTGTAGCTTTTAAAGTACCTTAGGTTGTAGGTGGTTGTTATCGGTAGATAGATATGGATGGAAGCTAAGAAAGACGCAGGGGGGATGCAAGTGTTGCACAGGCACAGGTGCTACCGAGTCACAGCTCTGATGCGTAGCTGAGTCACTCACTGCTCTGGTGAATGGGCGGGCCGTGAGTGAGTGAGGAGCACGAGAGCCTGGAGGACAGCCGTGGTAGATGTGCCGGGCAGAGAGTGGCACCGTGTAGAGAAGAGAGTGTGTCTGTCTGTCTGCACTCACACCGCTCTATGGCGGGAACAGGAGATAACCGAGATAGCATCCAGCTGCAACCCTAACCCTGGAGCTATGTACATATGTAGATCCCCCCCCCCCCACTCGATCAGCAAACGAGATCATGTTCTGGAAGGATGGTGTTGCATCATAGCTGATCATGGCTTTCTTTTCTTTTTTGGTTTGTGGAGAGGAGAGGAGCAGGATGGAGAGAGGCGAGGCAGCAAGAACCCGGGTTTTCGGTGACTCTGCCAGTGCCCTGCCCTGCGCTGTGCTGTGTTTGCTTTTGGACTCTGCCCTTGAGCTTATCTTTGGTCTTTTGGTGGCAGGGACCCGTGGGGATTGGGGATGTAGACTCTACTCTAGAGCAGGTACATGTAGTTAAAGGGCACCCGCAGACTTTCATCCCCAAGAGAGAACAAAGGGAAGTGAGAACAGCAGGCAGGAAGATGATGGCATGCATCCTTTATCGTTCAGGGTTCATTTCCTACTCTAGAGTAACATACCTGCAGACAGAAACCCTAACCCTGCGTGGCAGCAGTGAGATGACATCGGATCTGATTGCGGGGACCTCGCTCATTCGCCCGAACCGTGGCGACAGGACAAAAAAAAAAAAAGACGTCAACGGTTCAACCACCTCTTATCAGATCCTTCCTTCCCTCCACCCCCCAGTGCACACCCCAGCACCTTTTTTTTTTCTTTCCCATTCCCGCGGTAAACGGTGGCCCGCGCCCTGGCTAGGTAGGTACTTGGAGTAACCTCTCTCTACTAAAGAACCCCACATTTTTTTTTTTGTGTAGTCGAATCTAGCCACTGGACTACAGACCTAGCCGAACCCGTGGAAGTGGAGAGAACGAGAGAGAAAAACGTCACCCCCAGGCTTCCTTTGATCGCGGGCGCCCTTCTGCAGAAACAGAACTCTAGTAGTATCTAGTGATATCCGGGAGCGATAGAAGATAACCCGACCCGAGAGAGACTACCAGCCCAGCAAGCACCACGACGATGGCGAATAATACAAACCACCTACACCTAGACAGCAGCGACAACTACCACTTTACAAACCACGCACCACACAGCAATCCATACCGTTCCAACAGCAGGAATATGAGCGCGGCGGACGGATTCGTGACGACGGCGAGGGCCGAGACGGGCGGCGGTGGGATCAAGGAAGAGGAGGTGGAGATAACGGCGACGCAGAAGATGTTGGCGGCCTGTTCGGGGAGTCTGTTGACGAGTTTGTTGGGTGAGTAACGGCAATGCAATGTGATTCCTTTCTTTTCTTTGTTCTATTTTGTGTCTTCTTTTTCTTTTCCTGTTGCGGGTGTTGAGCATTGGAGGGTGCTTGCTGCTTGGGGTGGAGGAGGTTGTGCTCTGCTCTTATGCAGACCCGAGTTATTGCTCATGACGTATCTTGTTCACAACCACCACGGCTTGAGCTTTGGGCTTTGGGTGTTGCGATTCCCCTGGGCAGAGTTGAGCTCTGTTATACCCTTCTACCTTTTATCTTATTGCTATCAGCTTTCTTTCGAGCAATGCGTCCTGTATCAATTCCTATCAGTCGTGACTCTACGTTTACCTATCTACCCCCCGTCACTATATTTTCCTATATACAACTTTAGTACTATATCGAGGCCATGCTAACACCTCCTAGTAACACCTCTCGACGTGGTCCGAGTACGTCTGCAATCACAGCACCATACCCCCGCCCACCGCTCCTCGACGCTCCTCCGCTCCAAGATCCCCCTCACGCCCCTCACCTTCACCTCCACGACGGCCGCCCTCCCCCCCAACCTCGGCGTGACCGCCTGCTGCCGCGAAGTCTTCTGGCTCACGCCCACGCCCACCGCCTGCCTCGCCGCGGCCCCCTCCCTCCCCTCCTGCCAACTCACCACCCCCTCCCTCCCCTCCGCCGTGGCCCACCACCACCGCATAAACGGCACCTTCGAAGGCCTCGTCAAGATCGCCAAACACGAGGGCCTCACCTCCCTCTGGCGCGGCCTCTCCCCAACCCTCCTCATGGCCATCCCCGCCAACGTAATCTACTTCACCGGCTACGACTCCCTCCGCGACACGCTCTCGCCCCTCGGCCCCACCGCCGCACCCCTCATCGCCGGCTCCGCAGCCCGCACCATCGCCGCAACCGTCATCTCCCCCGTCGAGCTCTTCCGCACACGCCTCCAGGCCGCCGGCGCAGACCACACCTTCTCCAGCACCCTCGCCGGCGTCCGGTCCATGGTCGCCGCGGAGGGGGTTGCCTCCCTGTGGCGCGGGCTGGGCCTCACGCTCTGGCGCGACGTGCCCTTCTCGGGCGTGTACTGGTTCGGCTACGAGATGGTGAAGGCGCGGCTGCGGCGGGAGCGCGAGCAGAATTGGCACATGGGGGCGGCGCCGCTGCAGACGCTGCCGGGCGACCTGCATGCGGAGAGCACGTTTGTGGATGCGTTTGTGGCGGGGGCGGCGTCGGGGGCGGTTGCGGCGCTGCTGACGACGCCGTTCGATGTGGGCAAGACGCGGAGGCAGGTGGCGATGCAGGTGGGTGGCGGCGGGAGTATGCCGCGGTTGTTGTGGGGCATTTGGAGGATGGAGGGTGTGGCGGGGTTGATGAGGGGGTGTGTGCCGAGGATGTTGAAGGTGGCGCCGGCGTGTGCGATTATGGTGTGTTTCCCCTTTTGTCCTCTGTGTGGTTTGTGAGTGTGAGCTAACGGGTGCGTAGATCTCGAGTTATGAAGTGGGAAAGAAGGCTGCCGCGAGGATGAACTCTAGGAGTGCGTCTTTGTGAGGTGGCGGTATAAAGGTGCGGTACATAACAAAGTAGCAGCATGCATGCATCTGCAGCAGTAAGCAGTAAGCAGTAGTAGTGGGGTGGTAGACTTAGTTAGGGGTAGACTAGCTGGTTTGGCGGCGGCGGCGTCATTGCATCTTTTCCTTGTCCTCTCTCCTCTTGTCTTGGTCCTCTTCTCCGTTTGTTTTGTCCTCATGTACGAATAGGTTCTTCTCCTCTCCGCGTTCTTTTATCTGGCTTTTTTTTTTTTTTTTTTTTTCTCACTCTCACTCTCCTCCCCGAGCCCTTCCAGTTGTTCAGTTCTAAAAAAAAAGGCTATATGGCTGCTTTGTTTTTTTTTCTTCTTCGTTAACTATATTCTTTATAGCTGGGCTGGGCTGGGCTGGGCTGGGCTGGGCTGGGCTGGGTGGGTTCTGCATATTCCTTTTTTTTTTTTTTTTTTTGTCTGGCTGGCATCGAGCTCTTAAAATGCATCACTACATGTAGCTCATCTCCATCTTTGGCTTCGATCATAACGGCCGGAGAAACGGGGATTGGTTTTTGGTCCTTGGATCTTACACCCTTTTCTCGGTTTGTTTATGCTTTCTTGTCGATATTTGTTGTTGGTTTTTTTTTTTTTTTTTTTTTTTTTTGCAGGAGGAGGAGGTAAGTGGGCGAGGGGAGAGAGGGTGGTTTATATTTATATACATAGCTTATTTTTTTTATTTTTTTTATTTTTTTTTTTGCTTGCTTGCTTGCTTGCTTGCTTGTGGATACTTTTGTTTTTGGGATTGGGTTGGTGGATGGGGATTGGGGTGGATTTGGGGGGGGGGGGGGGGGGTGGAAAATGGAAAAAGGTGTAATATATATATAACTTTGGTTTAAATTTCTGTGTGTACGTGTATGTGAAGTGTGCGGTACCTATGTGATGAACGAAGGGTGGGTGGAGGAGGTGGTGATGATAAGATTGAAGATTTCCGCTGTCTGTGTATTATGGTCATAGATTATCACTCGTCTCTTGCCTCCTGCGCCGGGGGGGGGGGGGGGAGGGGCTTGGCCAGATAAAAGTTAGCGAGCTTTACACGGGTTGAACTACATGTATCCCTTCGTTTGTCCCGCGTTCGTTCCACTCAGTTTTAGCGTGATGTTCACCATGCAGGCTAGCTGTTATCAGGGCTGTAACGCTGGCCAAAATAGTAAGAATCTGCTCCAACTCCAAAGTAGAAAAGATCTGTTGATGGAGGAGGGGTGACGGGCTCACGGTGACTTTGCAAGAAAACTTGCCTAGCTGCTCCGCGAGATAACTGCCGTGCTACATAGATACGGCCGGAGATGTTATGTACGTAGAGATCGAGAGCGGAACGGAAGGTGTCCCTCCCCCCCGCGCGAGGAGGTGCCTGGTCGATCCGCGGAGAGATCACAAGTAGGCCAAGACACAGTACACACACCCGCACGGCCAATCTCGCAGGTAATTTACATAGAACTTGTTGACATGATCTCACCACAAAACTGGGATTGTTGGGGGGGGCTAGGAGTACTCACAGCCATGCTAGCTAGCTGAGGCCGGCTGGTGCTAGTGCGAGAATGCTTGTTTGTGAATCCATTCGGCTGTCTAAGCTACGTATGTATATGGTCGCCAGTTGCGGCCCGGTGGCTCTATCGTAGACTTCTGGCAGTGGTTTTATCGGAGATTTTCGGCAGTGCCTCTATGTACATAATCGGCGAGCGGCGAGCGGCGCGCGGCCCATCGATGGAGCTGCGATTGCCACATAGAGTTTAATTAGGGCTCGATTTCTCGGGAAAGAAGTAGTGTGGTCCACGAGCCATTGTCTCAAGCCTGTCCAAGCCCAACCCTTCACGAGGCCGGGCCGGCTCGAGCCCATAGGCCGGCTCAGCTTGAGCCG